TATATATATATATATATATATATATATATATATATATATATATATATATATTAATATAGGCTATATATATATATATATGTATATAAATTATGTATATATATATATATAAATATTTGTAATGTGAGTGTGTGTGTATTCAATGTGTGCGTGTGTGTGTGAGTTCGGATTAGGGGCTAGAGTTCGTCGGAGGTCCCTGAGTCCACCCAGCTCTATTGGGTACCCAACTCGCGTTAGGGAAACAGAAAGCTAACCTCACCATCCTATCATTGGCCGAGTTCACAGAAACAGTTGAGCACTACTTCATTTACCTCATAGATCACCATATTTGACAGGCAACTTTTACATGATTACACATAGTCCCCCCCCCCCTTTTTGTGTAAATGTATTTTTGAGATCACATTATATAACTAGATAGAGACTTTTGGTTTTAGAGAACGCGAGATATTTAGATAAGGTTCTTTCAATAGTGCAGTCTACATACGTGATTTGCTAATCGACAGTAAGCTACAGTCTAGGGATATGTTATCTACATCCTGGTCTAGTGGTAGTTAGCTTATTGTAGATCGTTTCTCTAAAGGTATGCAGTCTGCTGGTCTGCAGTCTAGTGGTAACTAGACTACAACATGGACTTAATTACAGTCTTTTGGTAACTAGACTAAGATATAGGCTTGATTAGTCTTTTGGTAACTAGACTACAACATGGGCTTGATTACAGTCCTTTGGTAACTAGACTACAATATGGGCTTGATTACAGTCTTTTGGTAACTAGACTACAACATGGGCTTAATTACAGTCTTTTGGTAACTAGACTAAGATATAGGCTTGATTAGTCTTTTCGTAACTAGACTACAAAATGGGCTTGATTATAGTATTTTGGTAACTAGACTACAACATGGGCTTGATTACAGTCTTTTGGTAACTAGACTACAACATGGACTTAATTACAGTCTTTTGGTAACTAGACTAAGATATAGGCTTGATTAGTCCTTTGGTAACTAGACAACAACATGGGTTTGATTACAGTCTTTTGGTAACTAGACTACAACTTAAGCTTGATTACAGTCTAGTGGTAGCTAACACAGGGTATCTTGTCTACCATGTGATAATTAGTCTACAATCTATGAGAACTCAACAACAGTCTTGTGGTAATTAGACTAATGTAGCTGGCTAGCTTATCTCCTATGGAGTGTATTATTGATTGGTTAAGGATAACTAGACCTGCTCCAGATATAAGTCAACTAGTCTCTAGTTTAATTCACTAGACTAGAGCCATGTCTAGACTTGTGGCTAGCCAACACAAATGAAGATATCTAGACCTACAGCATAGTGTTTACATTTAGATTAACGCGGGTAGACAGCGTTAAACCTAAACTTAGTAAAAAAAAAACCCCACAGACGTGAGCACATCCAAGAAACAGATAAGCTCCCAACTTTGTAGACACCCCCCCCCCCCCCCTTCAAAGAACTAATTTCCATTACATTTTAGTTAGAAAGTCATAAAAAAGAAGATAAATAAAGGTAACGTAATAAACTGAAAGATTAACTTTAAAAAAAAATCCTCTTATACAAAAAATCAATGAAGAAATGAAGAGCACAGACAGTGTGACGTAGTACACATGTTTGGCTTGCGTGATTGGGCCACGAAGACATAAACTCAAGGATAACTAAGAAACGGGAATTCCGAGTCGCTGTTCTAATTGACGCCTTGGCTGTTCTAATGAACGTCTTCAAAGACGAGACTCGACTCAAAGACGTGACCAAGAAGAGAGTTTTAGAGGCATAAAATTCTCGCGTGCGCTTAGGGATGACCGAGTTAGCTAAAGTATTTCTTTTAAAATATGGGGATGATCAAGTAAGCTCAAGTATTCCATGGTAGGCAGGAGGGATGACCGAGTAAGCTGAAGTACTCCACATCAAGATTATGGGAAGGCCAAGTAATCTGTTGTACACAAGCAGACGATTGTGGAATATCATTCAAATTGGGTGGTTTGGACAAATTAAGATTTAAAACAAAATGTTGACATTAATATATCGACAATTTTAAATTTTTATTTTCATTTCGAATTATTTCAATTAAAATAATCCACCGACCTAATGTTATCTCAATAATTAAAAAAAAACATGTGCTATTTTATCAGTAGATTAGGTTAGTTTGGTTACCTTAAGATGTTAATTACAATCGGAAAAGGAGGCAATGCAGTAAGATTTAGATCAAAGGCAGGGGCGTTAATCGGTTTATTTAACACCATCTGTTGGTTATTTTAGACTGAAACAATATTTGTCGTCGTAATCATATTTTCTAAATTGGTAACATCCATACTAAATATTATTAGCTGTTGATAGAAAGAAGAGTAAAACCTTTGGAGGTATGTTGACATTAATTTGACCATGGTTTAGTTTAAACCAGAAGCATCACATGGGAGGGGGAGGGGCTGGGGGTGTGAGCCTTATCTTGCGATACCCGTAGTGACGTCAATACGCCCGTCTCAGTGGCGCCACTACATCTGACCTAAAGACTCCTCTACATGACGTCAAGTGACGCCACTACGCCCGACATATTAAATCCAACCAAGTGACGCCATTAATTTAAATTGATGAAAAAATAATTTGGATATTCTTCTGTATCCAACAATATTTCTGTATCCACCAATCCATCTGTATTCAGCAATCCATCTGTATCCACCAATCCATCTGTGCCACCAATATTTCTGTATCCACCAATCCATCTGTATCCAGCAATCCATCTGTATCCACCAAGCCATCTGTATCCACCAATCCATCTGTATCCACCAATCCATCTGTATCCACCAATCCATCTGTGCCACCAATATTTCTGTATCCACCAATCCATCTGTATCCACCAATCCATCTGTATCCACCAAGCCATCTATATCCACCAATCCATTTGTGCCACCAATATTTCTGTATCCACCAACCCATCTGTATCCACTAATCTATCCATATCCACCAATCCATTCGTATCCACCAATCCATCCGTATCCACCAATCCATCTGTATCCACCAACCATTCCATACCCATCGAGTCGAACATGACCCCACATTAGACACATAATCACCTCATGGGTATGTTTAAAACGTCCGACCATAACACATTATACATATGTCTAGCATAAAACCTACATCACGTACATATCTTGTACATCTAACATCAGTCTTACGTCACTCCAATGTGTACATGCTATCTATGCCTCTATATTATGGCTCTATATGTTCGTCCCTCATCAACATCAAGTTCTTTAACTTAATATTATCCCACTAAAACGTTTGTATGCACGATATACACAAGAAAAAAAATACATGATTGCCAATTTGAAACGCTAACACTATTCTATTCATTAATCGCACATCCTAAGCTAGTACACAGTGAGTATATATGCTATATGATATTCTCCCTCATACGAGCCCAGCGCAAACCTTTATAACACATCTATATACATCTGATATTAGACTGATGAAGGCTTTTTTATAACGGATGCACATTTTATATGCACATACGTCTAATATAAGCTCAATAAAAGCCTAAACATATGCCACTACGTACATCAAATATAATCCCAACATAAGCCTTTATATACATCTTATCTGTCCACTCTATATGTTTCTGATAGAAGTCGCCCATAGACCCTTACACGCAGCAGATAAAAGCACACCATACAGCTCTATGTAAATTAGATGTTAGCCCAACACAAACCCATACATACACCACATATAAGCCAACTATTAACCCCTGCATACACCACATATAAGCCAACTATTAACCCCTAATTACTTCACATATAAGCCAACTATTAACCCCTAATTACTTCACATATAAGCCAACTATTAATCCCTGCATACACCACATATAAGCCAACTATTAACCCCTGCATACACCACATATAAGCTAATTATTAACCCCTGCATACGCCACATATAAACCAACTATTAACCAAACATACACCACATATAAGCCAACTATTAACCCCTACATACACCACATATAACCCCAACATAAATTCGTATATAAATCTAATACAGGCCTATAAGCCCAACATAAACCTGTACATACATATCATAACATAAGCCCACCATAAACCCCTACATAAATCTCATATAGACTCACCAAAATCTGCCCCATCTGTCGCTCTTCTCACCATGCTTAAGAAAAAAAAATGATGGCCAAAGCTTGACGACAGTGACCTTTGACTTCGAAAAGTGAATTGCGAAATCGAGGCATTAATCTCTAAACATCTGTGCAGCAAGCGTGAACAGTTTTCTCGATGCTTTTTTTTTTCGATTACAGATGAGAACGTAGCATAAGCTAGGTTCTCATTCACTAGAAAATGGGGTTGCAGAATAAGGTAAACACTAGTTTTAGTTCTTAGGGGCGCCGATATATGACAAAATGTGTAAAAATTTACATTAAAATGTATTGAGTCTGATATTATCCTAAAATATATTAAGAAATACAAACTAATCGGAAGTCGATGATAAGGGGAGAAAAGTGAGTCAACGCAACATAACTGAACAAAGACTTTTTCTGTAAAGAGCCATTTCCCTTTATAAATTTCATTCATTCGCCCTAGAATTCAATATAGTTTGCCAGAATGTGATTTTTGTTATAAAAAAAAATTGTAGCGCTTTATGGAGAGACTTGTTATATATATATATATATATATATATATATATATATATATATATATATATATATATATAAAGCCTATATATATATATAAAGCCTATATATATATATATATATAATAAGCCCTTATTGCCTCATCTTTTATATATATATATATATATATATATATATATATATATATATATATATATATATATATATATGCTAATATAACATACTACCCTTTATTCCCCTCCCCCTTTCACGAACCAGTGAAGTCCATAATGGAGAGCAGCATTCTGGTATTTTTTTATAACATTCACGTTGATAACGTGATCAGAAGGTACTCACACTACAACACTTTAACTGCGTCACTCACCTGGGACGAGGAAACAGACAACAAAGATGGCGGCTTGTAGTCGCCGACCGCCTCGTAGGAGCTCCGGTCGACCGGCAGATTTCCGGCACTGGCGCTCCGGCGTCGACACAGGAGGTACACGGCCAGCACACCCACGAAGAGGGCGGCCACCACCCCGAAACCACACACCACACCTAGCGCCACCACGGAGACCATCGTGTGGCCTGGGGGTCAATGTGACATGTGGTCACACCTGGCAGAGAGGGAAACAAAATTGTCAGGTAAAGCAGGTGTAAGCACAGGTGTAAGAAGAGGTGTAATCAGGTGTGGAAATACATAGTGAAGTATATACACACAAACAAACAAACAAACAAACAAACAAACAAACAAACAAACAAACAAACAAACAAACAAACAAACAAACAAACAAACAAACAAACAAACAAACAAACAAACAAACAAACAAACAAACAAACAAATAAACAAACAAACAAACAAATAAACAAACAAACTAACAAACAAACAAATAAACAAACAAATAAACAAACAAATAAACAAACAAACAAACAAACAAACAAACAAATAAACAAACAAACAAATAAACAAACAAATAAACAAATAAATAAACAAACAAATAAACAAACAAATAAACAAACAAACGAACAAACAAATAAACAAACAAACAAACAAACAAACATCAAGCAAACAAACAAACAAACAAACTAACAAACAAACAAACAAACTAACAAACAAACAAACAAAAACAAATAAAACAAACAAACAAACAAACAAAAAACAAATATAAACTCATAATTAAATAAATGAATAAATTAATTAATTAACTAAATAAATAAATGAATATATGTATGTGTGTGTGTGTGTGTGTACATTACCTGTGCGCTTTTATTTCATATTAGTTATTTATTTCCTAGTATAAACAATAAAATGTGTGTTAATATAAATTAATATTTCTTCCTCAATTCACCATCGCCAACATCCCCTTTTATTCACCCTAAACCCCCCCCCCCACCTCCACTTTTTGCCAGTCCATGGGATTTTGTGTATAATTTCTTACATGTCAAAATTAGTTACGTGAACTTGAGCTCTGATTGGCGTAAATGTTGAGTGTTGCTGTTAGTGTGATATGTGTATGCTGTTACTTTGTGGTGAAGTTTGTATTTTAATGAACGCTTTCTTGTCTTGTTACTACTCTGTAATCCTGTTTTGCCTACTAACTATAACTAGCAATAAAGCATTTTTGCGAACCCTTCTACAATTCATCTCACTATAACTCTAACTGTTTAGAGAATAGGTTAAAACAAGGAATGCTATAGATCATGATCTATAATAAAAGTAACATAATGTAATAACTTCAGAATGATAGTTTATAATGTTTATATTTACATTTAAAAATATAGTCTTTACAAATAACACCCTTAAAAAAGCTTTCATTATGGATATTTTTGTTAAATTAAAAAAATCTCAGCAATTTCATATATTTTAATATCAACAAAATTAATTGAACGAAAGTAAAAAAATAAATAATTACGTATTTTAAAGAAAGAAAACTGTGCTCTACTTCAAAATAAGAAAATAAAACCAGTGTTACCTCCCTTACAACATGCCATTTTGTTGACCATTATAACAAAATAAACAAGATTGTATTATTCTTTCTTTCTACTTAGAAAATCTATTTATTTTGCTTTGTTTAAACTCCCAAGTGCAAAAAGTGCACATATTTTTTTAAATGTATAAGTTATGAATTTTACATAAAAATAATGTCGGAGTCCAAACGTTACGTTACAGGGTACGTAACCGTGTAAATAATCAGACTTCCCAAGGCAGTCTAATATATTGGGCTACTGTTCCTGATAGAAATTTTTTTTTTCAGAAAGACTCATTAAAATATTTGATATCAATGTTATTTAATTAACGTAAAACACTAAACTTGATTTAACGCCATCTTGAAATCACGGCCTTGTTTTATTCTGGTATTTTTCATCTTTGTTTTGAAATAATAGTTTTAAATAGGAATTAAACATGCTTATCATTTATAGTAGTCCAACGATGTGTTAAAGTTCGATATATTTCATTTATTCTAGTTTTATTTTCTAACCATTTTATCTTCTCAAGATTTTCGTGTTTTTTTGTTCCATCATTTTTGTTCGGGCAAAAAACAGCTTTTACTTTTAGTTCCAGAACTCCACGCTCTAAAATATGCATGCTCTCTCATTCTGTTAGTTGACAACCTAGCTGATAAACTCTCCCCTCCACTTACTACGATCAGTTTTGGACCTATTCCCCCCCCCCCACTCCTACCATCAGACAGTGGAGCTAATCCCAGCAATGTGCCAGCATAACCTCACTGCCCTGGTAATCTGCAGGATTTAAACACGGACTCAGACAAGATTAAATAAGCAGATATAGGGTAGGCTGATACGTTTCATCGATTTAATGGCCTTCTTGGCTAGTACGTAAATATACATACATACACACACACACACACACACACACACACACACACACACACACACACACACAAACACACACACATATATATATATATATATATATATATATATATATATATATATATATATATATACATATATATATATATATATATATATATATATATATATATATATATATATATATATATATATATATATATATATATATATATATATATATATATATATGTAGGCCTATATATATATGTAGGCCTATATATATATATATATATATATATATATATATATATATATATATATATATATATATATATATATATATATATATATATATATATATACATCTTAAAGGGTTGTTCTATTTTAGGGGTAGCCATGCAAACAGAGGTTCAGCTGACATTATATATTGTACCAACATCACTGGGCTTGCGTCTGTAGGTTTTATGCGTGTTAGTCTCCATCATGCAAATCATTTTCTATATATCATGTTATATCCGTTGAATTTTAACATTTAACCCCGGGCATGTATAATCTAGTAACTAATGTTTACGAAAATATACATTACAGACACATGTTTGCAAATTTACACTTAATTGGCAGTATTAATGCAAGAGAATTTGTTGAACATAGAGCTGTCTTCCCTTGCCTCAATGAATCACCATACACCCCCCCCCCCCACCCCAGTGAATTGACGGGCCATATACAGTCCCACCCCAGTGAATTGACGGGCCGTATACACCCCCACCCCAATGAATTTACGGGCCAAATACAACTCCACCCCAGTGAATTGACCGGCCATATACACCTCCACCCCAGTGAATTGACGTACCATATACTCCCCCACCCCAGTGAATTGACGGGCCATATACACCCCCACCCCCACCCCAGTGAATTGACGGGCCATATACACCCCCACCCCAGTGAATTGACGTACCATATACACCCCCACCTCAGTGAATTGACGGGCCATATACACCCCCCCCCAATGAATTTACGGGCCATATCCAACTCCACTCCAGTGAATTGACTGATCATATACACCCCCCCCCCCCCCATGAATTGACCGGCCATATACACCCCCATCCCCAGTGAATTGACGGACCATATACACCCCCCCACCCCACAGCCCCACCCCCACCGAATCGACGGGCCTCTTTCAGCCCATGGTAACCCACCAGCAAGGTCAAACAGAAATATTATATATGGAATTGAGTGGGAGTTGATGTATGTCCCGTCCCTCGGGCCGACATTCAGCAGACATTTCCCTGATTTGGTTCTCCCCCACCCCCACCCCCAGCTCCTCACACAACCCCATTCAACGAAATGGTTAGTTGTGGATGAATATTCTAGCACTACTTTTCCCTAATCCCTAGTGGCATTGCAGCTTTTAACGGTTAAATTCTGAAACAGAAATATAATGTTAGCGATTAAAACACGGATGCCATGAGCCATGTTTATGCATAAGTGTTTTTTAAGGTAATATTTTATATACGATCCAAGAAACGGTAATCATAGCAACAAGAAAAAGTTGATGTTTTTAAAACTGCTGTTGATCACATATAATCAGATGTACACTTCATTCTCAATGTCAACAAAGGATATGGATCGGATGTAAGATACATTCATAGTTCAATTTTTTTAATCAAATATCAACTAACGTTACGCGTGTATGTCATCAATATTCTGATTGTGTGAACTTTGGTTACACGTCAACAAAATTCTAAATATGATTTTATAATGCTTTAGAATGTAGTCAGTGGCGTAGCGAGGTCAGGTGTCACCCGTTGCGGGACTTAATGGTGTCACCCCCAGTAGCGACCTATTCCGGGGACAAACTTTCAATTATCGATTTGCACCCCCCCCCCCCCTCAAACTTTCGATTTGCAACCCCCCCCCCCCCTCATACTTACGATTTACAACCCCCCTGAGATTTTTCTCTCTATATATTTTGCTATTTTTTGCTTTGGTGTCATCCCCCTAAATGGTGTTACCCGGTGCGGTCCGCACCCCCCCCCCCCCCCGCTACGCCTCTGAGTGTAGCATTAGCGATTTAATAGAAAGTCAACCATCTTGCCAACGGTAACTAAGGACGCTGTCCAACATTCTTAAAGCGATGGTGATGGTACATAAGATGATATAAATCCTCCATATTATCAGATAAAAGTTCATAACAGTGAATACAAATCTAACCTTTTGAACCCATTCAAACAGCACACAAAGAAAATTCTTGGTCGTGTGTCAGTGACACACTAATTAGCGTAATTAAACGCAGCACGAGACATTATGTCAGAGTATTGATCCCATGAGAGACAGAAGTCAACAGCATTGACAGCGATTATAAATGTGCGTGGGATAGAACAAACAAGTGGCCGTTTATTGGATTTTTACCACGATAACACAATAGCCTGCGCAAGGTTACGGGAAAGGCTAGTAAAACTTGTATGTATTCTTTTACATGTTTTTAATGTACCTCGTTTACAGGTATCTTTCCTGTGAGTTATTATTTGAAGTAAAGTACAATTTCAAACATTATGATCCATGGGGCAGGTGAAGTAGAGTTCACCTGTTTCAGTGACCTCTGCATATGAAAGGATAGTGTAGTCAGCCAAAGCCCAGCCGCTTTTACTTTCCCTACCGTGTCAGGTACTCATCAGAGCTGGGTGGACTCAAAGACGTTCTTCGGATTTGAGCCCAAAACTACATCTAAGATCAAAGTTCCTCTTCTGAACATAGGATAAAAGT